TTCAAAGATTTCGGCCATGAGCTCAAGCGCGGCATGTGATCTAGACACTCTTTCACTGGAGTCATCTGATCCCGACAGCGCACTGCTGGGCTCTTCTAGTCAGGATGTTGATGAAGAGACTGATGGTGTTGGTGACGATAATGAAAGTGCGAACACCGAGTCGTCATCGGCCACTCCCAGCCACACATATGGGGATCTGCTAGAAGTGATGGATCATGCTACTAAGTGGCTTGATCTTGCTTGGTCGCAGATTAGCGTTTTCTGGCCAGTCTTGATCATCCCTCCACCAGGAGTCTTCCGTTTCTTCCTGATCTCCACTCTGAGATATCTAAATCCTCTGGGAAACCGTATTCATTTCGATTACATCCCTTTGAACACACTGATTATGCTAATGTTGAGGGTGTGGCCGAGCGTAGATACGCAAGGACGCCCCCTGTTGAAGAGACGTCTGCAAGCAATTTCTCACAGGGTGAGTCATGCTCTTTAAATATTCCTGCCTTGCCATCTTAACTTTGGTTTGGATGTTCCCCTTATCTGAATTGGCCCCTTTCCGAGGAAAGGTTAGGTCTATGGCTGTCACTTCCTTGGTGCTGTCTCACCAGGTGACAGGCAAGCGCCTCGGCATGGCATAGTTGGCATTTCGTTCCCCAAAGTGTCCACTAGAGGACGTAGCATGAGTTCCCTAGAAGGGAATCGTCTCGGGTTACACATGTAACCATGGTTCCCCGAGAGCGAACGAGATGCTGCATCCCCTCGCCATGCCTTCAGCCTGCCTGTTTCATGTCCCCTTCAGACAACTTGGGCTACTTTAACACTTGCCGCATTTTGTAGTTTTGGGCTAGTTTTGAGTAGCAATTAGGCGGGTTTTGTTGTGAAAACCTGGCAACCCTGGTCACGCGTATTGACAGTGTACGATGATTTACGATTAGCCGTGTCGGAAATTCAACCACGGATTGGCATGTTGTTATCTCAGAAACAGGCTCAGCCATCACATTGAATCAGGTAAACTGGTTATATATTTATTTTTCCTTATAATTACATACCGGGGCGGTTCTAAACCCTTTTTAGGTGGGTTTCAGCCCCCCTATCTGTCACCTTAGCCCCCCAAAACTATCTTAACGATCAGGCCAGTGCTGCTTCCTCGAGAAAGTTATTCATTCTCACGTGTTTTAAGTCTTGTCAGTTTAAACATTAAAGTAATTTTAAGCCATTTAAGCCCAAGACATCTCATGCAGTACTTGCGCACTGTGATAGAGCGTTTCTATGCGCACCACTCACACACCTGAAGTGCACAAACAGATAGCCTTCTCAGACAGCAGGTGAATACCAATGGCTGTCTTGACAAGTATCCTTGTAAGCACAGTCGGTTGCTTTAAGTGAATGTAAACAGTGAAGAAAATATCAAATGCACATCAGTATAATGGATCTGTGCATTTCTTATGTAAATAATGTTAATCAAAAAGAGCAAAAGAAAAATTGTTCACTGCTTTAATAGCTATAATGGATATTTGCATTTATGTTAATGTTAATAAAGTAATTCGGTGTGACTACAGTACTACCGGGGGGGATGTTTTGGGGGGTGAGTGAAATTAGACAAACTTGGGGGGGGCGCATGGCCTAAAAGGTTGAAAACCCCTGCACTAGAGGACGCAGCTTCTCGTTTCCTCTCAGGGAACCATGGTTACATGCGTCAGCTTAGTTAAAGTTACTAAAACGGACTTGTTTATAGCTAAGTGGAATTAGTAACTTATTCTTTTCAATGAGTCAGTCATTGGGTCTTTAAAAAGCCTAATAGAGGCACACTTGATTAAAGAAGCTGAGCATGAGTTGTGTTTCACTGAAAAGACAAAAATTAAACGAGCATGAGACAATATTGCATTTACAGCAGGTTCTTGTGAAATGCCTCTTTTGTGTTGTCAGAACAAGCATTTAACAATAATGATGCTATGATTAATGTAGGTACGGTTGATCTGCAACTCATGCAGAGATCAGGTATGTAGATAATTATCTATTTGGTTTTGTTATGGGGGCGATCAAACCACACCATTTGTATAAAGAATTTGACTTGACATTTTTTTGACCTTAAACTTTTCCACTTTTTATAAAAACAAAATAATTATCATGCTCCACTCACTCAGCTGATTTGTGATTTAAAGGAATAGTTCACCCAAAAATTGCATAAAGTGACCAAATAGCTAACCAAATTTCCATCTAAACTAGTCTATGGTTGAATCTCCTCTTCCTGGTTTAGTTGTTCAGTAAGAACATAAGCTCATATGTTAACCATTCAGGGCTGTCCTGTAGTCAAAATTATTTCAGTGCAGTGAAACATTTCATTGTGTGCTATTACAATGTTTTGTAATTCTATAATCTGTAACTCTATTTTATTTTGTATACCCCTTGCATTTTTGTTTTTAATAAAGTCAGAAATTAGAAATGGAGTGCATATTTTGTAATACCACTGTAGTTTTAATGGGGTCATATGATGCGATTTCAATTTTTCCTTTCTCTTTGGAGTGTAACAAGCTCTTGGTGCATAAAGAAGATCTGTAAAGTTGCAAAGACTAAAGTCTCAAATCCAAAGAGATATTCTTTATAAAAGTTAAGAGTCAGGGGAAATGTTGTATTACATCCCTTCTGACCAATGGATCCTTTGCAGAATGGGTGCCGTCAGAATGAGAGAATAAAAACACACAATAATTTGATTTCAAAACCGTATGAAACATTAATGTCAAGTCTAGCTTACATTCTCAACTTGTACACATGCTGTAGATATTAAAAACATTTTCTTTTCTTTATCTTGGACAATCTCATAAGTCATTGACCCTAAAGTGTGCATCAATCTCGTTAATTGTCTTATAAGAAATCATAGTTATTATTCATATAGCAATAGTTGGCCGACATGAACACGATGGATGGCAATCTCACTACAGCAGATTTCTGAATCGACTTGGAGTCCATGCAATCAGTGCGACAATTAACTTAATGAAGAGCGGATGCGTTAGGAAGTCACACTTAGTGCCCAAGTAACACTGATGCCTTGAATATTCATGTGCTGGCAGCTCGCGGATTCATAATGCCTTGCACCACTGAATACCAATAGCTGCATTTCCCGCCAAATGCAATATCTGCCTGTGCACGCTCACACTCTAATCGTGCTCATTGAGCTAATTATTTTTGGTTCGCTTTTCTCACAGACATAACATCTGCCTTGTTGAAAGGCCTATGCCCCCTTTAATATCGATTCAGAGAAAATTGTAATTGCTTAGATCAGGGGTTTTCGAACTTTTTGATGCCAAAGTCTGGGGATATGATGATTTACATAAAAATTGAAGTATAAATTGAGCAGTTTCAGAGATTATTGAGAGTTTATGGTTAAAGAAGACCAATATGAGAAGCAGGATACTTACACTAAGAAATCTCCATTGGCTCTCATTCTATTTTATTAGTATCAGGGAAAAACAACTGATAAATTACAGAAATGTCATGTTCTTGTGTAGTTAATTAAACCACACGCTATTAGTATTATCAAAAAGGCACTGGATTATGTAAGTCAAAATGTAGTACAGGGCCGACCTCAGCTGACAATTCTGTGATAATTGTGAGTTTATATCTCACAATTCTGTGAAAAAAGTCAGAATTGTGAGAAAAAAAGTCTCAATAACCTTTAAAAAAAAAAAAAAAAAAATTCAGAGGCCGAAACGGGCTTCCATACTTATCACTATGGTGGCCCTCAGAAAAATAAAATCTTATAGTTGTAAATGGCTTTGGACAAAACAAACAAATAAAACTGAAAACATTTCTAATGTCACTGCACTATCTGCCCTGGGAAACTTGTGATATAGGGGTTTTATTTATTTATTTATTTTGGAACTAGCTGGCTTTACCTTATGCGACCTCTAATAGCGACAGAATCGATGAAGTCCTGCCAAAAACTGATGTACGACTCAACACTGCCATCTGCTGTCTAACAGATGAACTGAGAGAGGAAATGGCTCATTCCATTGGCAGGAAGACGTCTGTGACATCAGCTGGAATTTCCTTCCATCTGTCTGAAATGAGAGCAGATGTGAACATGCACTGCTGACTCTATCTATCTAAAATAGCTTTCTTTTCAAAACACTAGAAATTGTGAAATAAAAACACTTTTAAAAATCAAAAACTTTGAATATTGTTGTGGAACCACAGCTTTAAAAAAATAAAAAAATAAAGCATGAGGACATGGTTCAGCAAAAGAATGTTCAACCAAAAGTTGCAGTTTTATTGAATTAAAACAGCCCATGAAACAGCACAAGTGTAACACCCAACCAAGTTGCTCACAGATTTTCCACAAGACAGGATTGATAGAAACATTTGTACTCATCTGGATATACAAAACAAAGTTACCTTGTATATAAATATAACTCTCTATCCGAGGACAGTCATGGCACCTTAAAATGAACAAAAAACCCAAACATACAGTCCACAGGTCAGAAAGATTTGTTCCGTCATTTTGACTCTTTAAGATCCATTTCGAATGACGCTTAACCTGAGCTCTGCCTCGTGTATTTCAAAAGATAAATGTGTGAAAGCAAATAAATTAGAAATGGAAACTAAATCCAGCCATCAGTATTCACTCTACAGAAGACTGATCTGCAGACTCGAGAATCGTCACGTCACTCACTCGTCATACAACAAACAATCCTGAAAAATGCGCATCATGGTTTCCACAAAAATATCAAGCAGCAAAAAGTTTTCAACATGGATAATAAAAAGAACTATTATTCTAAATTTCAGCTTTGCATCACAGGAATACATTACATTCTAAAATATATTCAAATAGAAAACAGTTCTTTTCTATTGTAACAAAATGTCTAAATATTACTGCTTCTACTGTATTTTTGTAGGCTTGTTGAACATAAGACTTCTTTTTAAAACCATAAAAAGTCTCAATTATTCCAAACTTGTGTAGACAGGTAGTGTATCTGTATGAATTATTTATACTATCATATAAACACATCTTACTGTAAGGAAAGGAGGACCCCGAAACTGGACAGGATGATCATGGGAAGCAGGCAGTAACCGAGAACACTAGCCACACAGCCGAACGACACCCCCGTCATGCTCATGAGGTTGAGCAGGCAGTACATGCCGAGGCACCCGATGGCACTGATACCATACACGTAACCGAACTGGATCTTACCCGTCTAAAATGAGGAAGAAAAAACATCTTAACATTTGACTTTATACTCTATCATTAATCATTCCGCTAGAATATACATTAATTTAAAAATATATATATTTATGAAGTACAAAATGATGAACAATTTTAGGCAAGAGGCATTCAAAACAGACATGTGTCTTACCAAGAGTAGCGTCGCCCCAAAGGCCAAACAGAACACCATGGGACCAGCCAGGTCTGTTTCATTCATTATACTGCCATCTGCTGCCTTCAGCGGGTGCAGCACAGTCAGAGTCTTCTGCCAGATGTGGTCAAAGTTGATCCCCAGCTCTGGAAACGGAAACTACATTTTCCTTTTTTCTTGCCCTACACAACTCACCACCATGCAGGATTTCCCAAACGGGGGTTCATGAGGGAAGGTGGAATGCTAATCATCAATTCACACAATGTACAAACTTCACAAAAGTGAATTAATTTCACAATAAAATGAAATTCACAAATTAAAAATAATATTAATAATAATTATTGTTAACAAATATGCTCGTCACAAACACAACCATGTCTGCCATTCTTTTGTGATCGCTTCCTTTACAATTGTGGACGGCTTCCTGTGCTTTTATCTCCACACTCATTTGGACTTTGAAGCATTTCTAGCATCAAGACTTGCACACAAATCTACAGTTTGTTTCCACTCACCATCTACTCAAGCCAATCAGATAACTCCATTGCAATGACAAATTTGAACAAGTTCTCACTCCAACCAATTACATGTCTTGGCCCGAAATAACTTTGCTTAGTTAATAGTCATCTGCATTGGCTTAATTTGGAAATATAGGGTCCATAATAATTGAAAAAAAAACTACAACTAAGCTTTACATCTCCGTTATGGGAACAATTCGATACTGGATACAGATACATTATGGCAGCATCACATTATTCAAGATGGAACGAAAAGCCTCAATAAGTAGCTGGATCATAAGTAAATGGTCAATTTTGTGACAAACATGTGTGAAGAAATTGTAAACGATCACAATTTGTGTATAATCCTGGGATATCCCGATTTACTGATTCTGATAGAAATACAAAGGAAAAATGTACATAAAACGGTGTGTTTTAACCCCACAAACAGCTCCATAGCTCATAGAATTCAGTTCTCGTCATGGGCGCAAGAAGTCTGTTCCCGCCTTAAAACAAAACGGAACTGTGTGAAGCTACAATAAGCAACAACTGAGATTTGCGTGCACGTCTTGAGATTTCAAAATCCACAAATTGCATGCAGTGATTCACAAATGGACAAGAAGCGATCTGCAAATGCATACTAAAATGCACAAATGAATGCAAGCCAGAGCTGTGTTTATTAATTCACATTAATTCATGAATTTAATAAATTTTTTGAAAAGGACCTAACATATACTTGTGACACTCATTCTATTCATTTGTGAATTTGTTACATTTTTGTGAATCAAATGTAGTCCCATATCTGATAAAATAGATGATATAATTTCTTGTTTTATGCATTTCCCCCTACATGTACATGACTTTGATATGCCAGACAAAACTCACATTTTAATAACACTTTAACTGCTTCTTTTTGTTTGATAATGAGTAAAGTTAATAGCGGTTAACAGTGATGCTTGCCTTAGCGAGCACCACTAAAATGAGAAAATTAGAATAATAGGACAGAATTGAAGTCGAACACTACTACAAAGCATTATAAATGCACTTCTGATTCAAGACAACAGTGATCAGCAGTAATCGGTTAAGTGGCTTTCTCTGCGTCTCTCTGACTGATGACTGCTGGTCCATTTTAAGCACAGCTCTGAAGAACTGGGGCAAGTAGATTTCACAAGGACTACTTAAAGGGCTAGTTCACCCAAAAATGAAAATTCTGTCATTAATTAGAATTTAACCCTCACCCTCGTGTTGTTCCAAACCCGTAAAGACCTTCGTTCATATTCGGAACACAATTTAAGATATTTTTGGATGAAATCTGAGGGCTCTCTGACCCTCCCCATAGACAGCAAGGTAACTACCACGTTCAAGGTCCAGAAAAGTAAGAAGATGAACGACAAAGTAGTCCGTGTGACATCAGCGGTTCAACTGTAAAGTTACGAAGCTACGAGAATACTTTTTTTTGCGCAAAGAAAACAAAAATAACGACTTTATTCCACATTTTCATCTCTACTGCGTCACTTGTGGACGCGCGTTCACGACAGTATCATCACGCCGGATCTGGGTCAGCGCCGCCACATGCTCGCGTCATGAACGCGCGTCCACAAGTGACGAATATGTGGAATAAAGTCGTTATTTTTGTTTTCTTTGCGCAAAAAAGTATTCTCGTAGCTTCGTAACTTTACAGTTGAACCGCTGATGTCACACCGACTACTTTGTCGATCATCTTGGGAATTTAACCCTCACCCTCGTGTTGTTCCAAACCCGTAAAGACCTTCGTTCATATTCGGAACACAATTTAAGATATTTTTGGATGAAATCTGAGGGCTCTCTGACCCTCCCCATAGACAGCAAGGTAACTACCACGTTCAAGGTCCAGAAAAGTAAGAAGATGAACGACAAAGTAGTCCGTGTGACATCAGCGGTTCAACTGTAAAGTTACGAAGCTACGAGAATACTTTTTTTTGCGCAAAGAAAACAAAAATAACGACTTTATTCCACATTTTCATCTCTACTGCGTCACTTGTGGACGCGCGTTCACGACAGTATCATCACGCCGGATCTGGGTCAGCGCCGCCACATGCTCGCGTCATGAACGCGCGTCCACAAGTGACGAATATGTGGAATAAAGTCGTTATTTTTGTTTTCTTTGCGCAAAAAAGTATTCTCGTAGCTTCGTAACTTTACAGTTGAACCGCTGATGTCACACCGACTACTTTGTCGATCATCTTGGCACTTTTCTGGACCTTGAACGTGGTAGTTACCTTGCTGTCTATGGGAGGGTCAGAGAGCCATCAGATTTCATCCAAAAATATCTTAAAATGTGTTCCGAAGATGAACGAAGGTCTTTACGGGTTTGGAACAACACGAGGGTGAGTAATTAATGACAGAATTTTCAGTTTTGGGTGAACTAACCCTTTAACTTCAGTATGCAAGGACACAGATGTGGTTTGTACTGAACACAGCCCCAGGTGACACTTTTAGTTTTTAAAGCACAAAACTTAACACAATTATTAAACTGAACTGAATCAACAACGAACTGACTTGAACAGAAAAATGGACTGTTTACTACTGTTCTCTTTTTAGAGCTGCTTCACAGCAGAACTGAATTATGTTTGCATTACCGAAACACTATTTTCCTGTTTAACACTGTAAATCTGCTTTGACACCATCTGTATTGTATAAAGCACTATATAAATAAAGGTGACTTGACGCCTTTAAGCTTAGTCTCTTGTCTCTTACCCTCCAGCAACGGGGGCTCATCCTCAAAGCTGCTAGCGTACATGGACTGTGGGGAGGCTGGCGTAAAGGCTGGCGTGGGCTGGTAGATCTGCCCCGTGTAAGGCTGCTGGGGCTGCATCATTCCCGGAGGAGCCGAGTAGCCCATCGGCTGCGAGTAGTCATACTGTCCGTATTGTCTATCAGATGCAATAAAAGATTTATAGTCGTAATTAGGTGACGGACATATAACATCTAGAGCCCACGGAAGCTAGGATACAAATAAGGCTAGTTAATTTACTGCAAACATGAAATAAAAATACATTGATTTGCATGCATTACGATATACTGATTACTCTCTAAAGCATTGTATACTATCGGCCAGCAATATATTTAATGTTGGATATATATACACTACATCCAGCTTTACCTGCATACACACTACATAGCATACACAATCCCAGCTGTGTGATTGTTTATATATCTACAAAATGTAAACATTATTGTTTCACAGCTCTAAATATAAAGATGGACAAGTATATCCAACTTTACGCACATACATACAGTATACTCACTGCTCTGAAACAATGTGTACCATGAAAAACGCTATACATATAAAATTGACTTGACTTGTTAAATAGTGCTATATATGAATAACATCAGAACTTTGTGCAAGGCTCAAGCCTACTTGCTGTATGGGTCATCTGTGTTGCTGTAGCCATATCCTCCTTGGTTCTGATCATCTACACTGTAACTAGACTGGTAAAAGTCTGCGTTTAAGTTGTCAAACCCTGACATTGCAAGCAGCCTGGAAGAAATTAAGCAGAAAAATAAGTCAGAGATGGACATTCAATATTATTAAAACTGACTGGTATCTAATAGTATCAAAGCCAAGACCGTTATTTCGGGGTTGGATTTTAGTTAAGTTAAAGCCAACTACACTGGTGTTCAAAAGTTTGGGATCAGTAAGAATTTATGTTTTTTAAATAAGTCTCTTCTGCTCATCAAGGCTGCATTTATTTGATCAAAAAACAGTCAAATTGTGAAATATTATTGTAATTTAAAAAACACTCTTTTCTATTTTAATATATTTTTTTAAACAATTTATTCCTGTGATGCAAAGCTGAATTTTCAGCATCATTACTCCAGTCTTCAGCGTCACATGATCCTTCAGAAATCATTCTAATATACTAATTTATTCGTTTTTGCAGCTTAATATTTTTTTTTGGAACCTGTGATACCTTTTGCGGGATTCTTTGATGAATAAAACGATAAAAAGAACAGCATTTATTCAAAACAGAAATATTTTGTAACAATATACACTTGCCATACAAAAGTTTGGGCTCAGCATTTTTTCCTTTCTGTTTTTGAAAGAAATTAGGCTAATACTTTTATTCATCAAATACGTGTTAATTTGATCAAAAGTAACAGTAAAGATTTCTATTTTGAACAAATGCGGTTCTTTTTAACTTTTTATTCATCAAAGAATAACGAAAAAGGTATCGGTTTCCAAAAAAAATAAAATTAAAAATGTTTCCAAACATTGCTAATAATTCAGCATATTAGGATGATTTCTGAAGATCATGTGGCACTGAAGACTGGAGTACTGATGCTGAAAAATCAGCTTTGATCACAGAAATAAATTATATTTTAAAGTACATTAAAATAGAAAACTTATCTTAAATGGTAATACTATTTTATAATATTACAGTTTTTTTCTGTATTTGTATAAATGCAGCCTTGATGAGCAAAAGAGACTTCTTTTAAAAAGTCATACAAATCTTACTGCTCCCCCAAACTTTTATACCTCACAGGGGTTTACCACATAGCTATTATCACTGTCAAACTCGTAGCACCATATTTGAATTATACAATTACATACAACAGTGAATTCTGGTCATTGAATCTGCATTCCAATAGCACTGATATAACAGTCCAAAAACACTGGAACTTGATACTGTCTGTATCACTCTGATTGTATAGGTATGCACATTCCAGACAGACTGTTAGGTTTTCAGTGCCTCTTTCTGTAGGTTACATCATTATGCCAGTAGATGGCAACAAGTGGCTGTCATCGAATCATTCACTCAAATGATTTGTTCAATAACACTGAATCATTCAGGAACAAAATAGCACTATTGTGTGTCGCATTAATTCTGCTGTGGCTGAAATATTTTTTATCGGTTGAGCAAAGGCAGACGAATTAACTGGCAATGTTGTATCTACAATGTAAGTTATATAACTTATTATTTATTGAACTATTAAAGGAATAGTTCACTCAGAAATGAAAATTTGTCAAATATCTATCCATACTATTGCTTTCTCTAGTGAAAAAGCCATCTTGTCTGAATCAGGAGAGAAATCAAACACTGTTTGCAAGCGAAAACAGTCCAATAGAGTTGTAAGCAAATATATTGGTATATGTAAAGCATTACAATATTGTGTTACTCCCTAAAAAAGTAACACATTATGTTACTTAGTTACTTTCTATGGAAAATAATATATTATGTTCCTTTTGCGTTACTTTATCCCATCTGGGCTGGGCTTGATTTTTTTGTATTTAATATAAAAAAATTATATTTTGGCAAATGTAAAAGCCCTTTCACACCAAAAGGGAAATGAATAAGCCTCAGGCGGAAGGAAATATGCATTCACATCTGTACAGTAGAGCAACAAACCTTTCAGCTGTCATTATGGATTGCATGAATAATAGGACACAGGAGAAGAAAGTTTGACATTCATTTATGTTTGACATTCATAAAAAAAAAAATCCAAATGTTATGTTTATCTAAAGTCATTTTTGCTTATTAGTACGGTTGAATTGGATCATCGAAGGTCAGAAGCAAAGACATCGGTTAATAAAATCGGATTAAATACATAAAGGATATATAAATATTTAACATTATTGCAGGATTCTGAGTTTGCATTTGACTGTTTTTATTCATTTTGAGGAATACTGAATCTGTTTTTGTGCAAGTGGGATGTGCATGTTCACATTTACTGCACTTACTCCCAATTTCTCTCAACATGGGCTGTCAGTCAAGAAATGGGAAAAGAAAGTAACTTATTTGAAACAGTGACTTAAAAAAGTAATGCGTTACTTTACTAGTTACTTAAAAAAGTAATCTGATTACGCAGCTTGCATTACTTGCAATGCATTTGTTCTATAATGCTATTTTTGGCCAGAAGTGATGGTTCAAAGTTAAAATGTCTTAATGGTGTATTATTTTGTTTCTTACAAACACACAGCTTTTCACTGCACAAGATGTTAACTGCAGTCATGTGGATTATTGTGATGTTTTTATCAGCTGTTTGGACTCTCATTCTGATGGCACCCTTTCACTGTACAATGCACTGTGTGCAAGTGATATAATGCTACATTTCTCCAAATCTGTTCCAAACTCATCTACATCATGAATGGCCTGGGGGTGAGTACATTTTCAGTGAATTTTCATTTTTGGGTGAAATATTTCTTTAAGCAATATCCCACAATCGTCCTTGTTACTCAATAACATGTAGAAACTGTCCAAACCTTGGTGTAAAACCGAACCCTCTTTGTTTTGTTTTACTTATTTACATATATGTACTGTCAGTTTAAGTATTGGAGGCTTTATCAGCACAGCTGCAATCACCTTCGACCAAATTAAGCTGCATAAGGCCATAACACACTCTTTATTATATGATATTGCTTTAATTATTATGATTTTAATCATATATGTTTTGATAGACTGTGATTGGCTATTGATGCACAGTATTATTGACACAGGCTACATATAGGTTGCTGTAAACTGCTTCGAACCCTGCGTTAGTGGCAGGAAATCAAAATAGAACACAAGATATAGCTCAAGATACAAAAGCCAGTGAGTTGTTTGAACATGACTGTGTGAGCCCCTTCTCAGATTCTCTTGATTCTTTCATCACACTCTGCACGTGGATGCCAGCAGATCGGAGTGTAGGATGTAGAGTAAATATTCAGAAAGTGGAGGCAGAGAAGTCAAAGGCACTGACAGCACTGCAGAAAATGTCATTTTGAGATTCAAAAATTCCACAAGAACAGTGATAAACAATTGAGCATCGATACATCTTAAGGTGCTGACATACTTCCTGCCTTTGTTCTTGCAGGAACGGTTTTGGTTACAATAAGATTATGTTAACATCAAGTCAAATGCCTACATTATCTGTAGGCTACGTATTTGTATGGATAAAAAAAATCCAGGGTTTGTTCTTAAACTTGTTCTAATATTAATACATTAGCCCCCGGTTTCACAGACAAGGCCTAGTCCCAGATTAAAATGCATGTCTGGGCTGTTTTAACTGAAAGAAACTTGCACTGACATATCTACAAATATCTCAGTGCCATTGTTTTATCTCAAGATGCACACGAGTAGTGTTATTTTCAAAGGAACATTTATAAAAGATACTTAAATGTCCTAATTGAACTATGGCCTAAACCTGGCGTAGTCTAAGCCCTGACAGTGAAGCCAGGCCTAGGAGTATTGTCAGTGATCAACTGGGATAAGTTTTCATCTGAAAAAATATTGAAGCTCATTAGTTTTGTTCATTAAAAACACATTTGTATGCACGGTTAGTGAGAGAAACCCCATGACTTTCTAGTTATATATTATGCACATAATAGTACAACAATAAAGCTACAGATTGTGAAACTAAACATTAAACAACTTAGCATGCTACATTTCTGGCATTAAAGGGATAGTTCAACCAAAAAAATGTAAACTCATTTTTTTCATAATTTTTTAATCATTATCATCATTTTCTCACCCTCAAGAAGATGTTTTAAAGAACATGGTTAACGGTTGCTTGCCATTTGACTTCCATAATATGAAGTGCTTTTTGGAGCTTGACAGCCCTTGGTTCTCATCCACTTTGATTGTATGGAAAAGAGCAGCATGAACATTCTTCAAAACATCTCCTTTTGTGTTCCACAGAAGAAAGTCATACGGGTTGGGAACAACGCGAGAGTAAGGAAATGATGACGAAATGTTTATTTTTGGGCGAACTACTTGTTTAATGAAAGAAAATTGAAAAGCGTCAGTGTGTGTGCGCACACAAATCTAGGTCAGTGAATCGCCATTCTAATTACCTTCTGCTAATGTGTTGTGCTTTAATCCTGCGCTATTGCTGGATGGACGTGCAGATTACAACAACCTGCTTTTTTTCAGCAAGTACAAAGACACACACACACACACACACACACACACAGGTTTGTTTTTATGGTTTATGGGGACTCTCCATAGGCGTAATGGTTTTCGTGTGCGTATGTGTGTTTGTTAGCGCATGCATCTGAGCACGCTCCCTCGTTACCCTAAACAATTATCTCCCACATAAAGCCAGACGCCAAAATCTAGTAGCCCAGGGCATAACACATCATCACCCCTTCAAGTCTGTCAGTAAAATCTGTGCAGCACGATCTGTTGTTACGCTGCAAATTGCGAGTCAGCTGTGCCTTTCAGGGTTGAGAAGTGTGACGTGAAAAACAGCACGACGCGAGGACAGGGTATCACAGGGGCATGGCAGCATCTAATGGAATCACAGCTGGCAGTGGCAGAGTCCCTCCGTGGCTGTGGCTCTGTCTCAATTATAGTCTAACCCCATGCGGCAAACAGGCTTCCTTAAAACCCTCCTCGAACAAATAATTCATCATCAGCTGCTCCTTGCTGGAGACCTGCAGGCTGACAAAAGTTAGTTTAGGATCCAGAGAGTGAATCATGCAATTCCCACCAAGGCTCCAAAAATAGCAGAAGCCAGGAATGGCATACTACTGGGCTTAATGAGATGCTGAGGATATGAAACCACACTAAGCAAAATGCGCAAGCAAAGTGGCATTTCAGTTTTAATGATTTGAATAGCTCTGCGTTTAA